AAAAAGAGTGAGATTAGAAAAGACAAGATGTGTAATTTTCTCTTGTAAAATTTTTATTTCATCAAATCGAATTACTATAGCAAAAACGAATGTAGTCTCACACTTGTAATTTCGATTTTATCTTAATGCCTTAGAGACCTCATTAGTGTTTTTGATTACCATGAGAAAAAGAGAGAGAGAGGTTACAAAAGATTGAGTGAATGACTACAGCGGCAGCAGAGAATGTAATCGTATACATATAATTTTTATTTTGACCTAATTTACCTTATAAATAGGATGACATCAATAAAGTTTAAAATTACCATCGAAAGAAGAGCGATTAGAAAAGATAGGTTCTGTTGTTATGCTTGTAACTCAAATTCCACGCAATTTGGAAGTTTGATTCATGGATGAAGCTCAAATGATTTTGGTTTAGAAGTCCGATTTGATAAGGGTCAAATATCATCATGGATTGAGAGTTTGATTTGGATAATGACTCTATTTCATCCATAAATCCAAGACTAGGTTTCTATAAATACTCCACAAGGTGTAAGACACACTTTAGAGTTAACGATATCACCCTAGTATTTTTTCGATATAACAATCGTGAGGAGTGTTGTCGATTTTATTTTGAAAATGTACAAATCGTGCAATTACTAAAGTGATGAATGAATGCTGCCCTTCAATCCAAATTAATTCTAACACATACATGGTTAATTTTTTACTGTTTCAAGGTTGACCATCTAAATTACTAAGTAATCTAAATTGCACACACATGAAGCCTTGTTCTGGAATTGGTGGTTGGCTCACCAACATTTGCAGTGATATCATTCCTTCTTGTACAGCTAGCGAGTCAACCGTGTTTTACTACAAGATGAAGGGGATTATTATAGGCATCTTGCAGAGTTCAAGACTGGTAATGAGAGGAAAGAAGTTGCTGATCAGTCACTGAAGGCATATGAGACAGCCACCACCACAGCCGAGGCTGAGTTGCCTCCAACACATCCCATTCATTTGGGTTTGGCATTGAATTTTTCTGTCTTTTACTATGAGATTATGAGTTCACTTGAGAGAGATGTAGTTCAGATTCAAAAATTTTTTTTTTATGTCCCACACTTTAATCTTTAAGATGGACTATTGTTGATCTCCATTGTCCATATTGAGGGGGTGTGTGTTAGAATATCCAGTTCAGCTTCATTCTAGAGACTTCTATGTAGTTAGATAGTTTGTTAATTAGTTAGTTTTTTAGTCTATAACTAGAACACTTTGTATTCATTGGATTCTATTCCAATCTTTAACGTGAAATCATCATGTTGAATCTATCATTTTCTTCCCTGCAGTTCAACATGCTTCAATTTCAGTTTCTTCCTTATTTTCAATATGGTATCAGAGCAAACCCAATTTTACAATGTTGGGTGCACCCAATATCGATTTGTTCACAGTTGTTTGGTACGCTGTGCGAGATTGGGCGTATTGGAGTCCCACATTGGTTGGTGATATTTACATGATCTACTTAATAAGATGAGGGCAATCCTCCCATAATAAGTCGATTTTGATAGGTTGAGTTACACCCAATATCCTTTCTAATAAAATTGAATCACGTTAAAGCACTAGGATTCACGAATCAACTGTTGTGATTCATGAATTAATTATCAAACATAATTTGAATAAACAATAAAAAAATAATTATGCCAACTGAAATGAAACAAAGTAATAAATAACTTAATAAAATCCATCTTCATCAAACAATATATTATATTTATTATTGCTGACCAAAAAAAGGAAAGATTTTTCAATGTAGAGTTTTCCTGTCGAAATTTCGGAGGATTTGTCTCCTTATTTTTTTATGTGTGTATTTGTGGTGAGCTTTCTACTTGAAGGAAAAAAAGAAGTTTTCTACGATTTTTTTATGAAAAAGACTCTTCAACTGGAGAGTGGTAAGAAATTTAAGAGTGTTGATCCTAATTTTTGCCTTCATTCAAGTGGAAGATTAGATTTCTAAATTTTTTCTTCATTTTCAGCTTTTTAACCACTTGATTTTTACCACTTACATTGTTGTTTGAATGACCCTATTTTTAGAAGATATTTTTAAACAACCTGACATTTGGTAGTTATGTGTCTCAGAGTGAGATTAAGAAAGTTGAAGATGCCCTTAGAATGATTGTAATGTTATAGGTAATAAGTGGATATTTAAGAATAAAATCGATGATCAAGATACCATAATTAGGAACAATGCTAGGTTAGTTGCTCAATGATATACTCATGTTGAAGGAATTGACTTTAATGATACGTTTTTTCCTGTAGCTCGACTTGAATCCATTAGAATTCTTCTGGCTGTTGCTTGCATTTAGGATTCAAATTATATCAAATGGACGTCAAGAGTGCCTTCTTAAATGGAATACTTCAAGAGGAAGTTTATGTTGAACAATCTAAATGATTTATTAATCCTAAGTTTCCAAATTATGTCTACAAATTGAATAAAGCTTTGTATGATCTTAAACAAACTCCTTGAGCTTGGTATGATAGACTAACTGCATATCTCGTGGAAAGTCTACAAATTGAATAAAGCTTTGTATGATCTTAAACAAACTCCTTGAGCTTGGTATTATAAACTAACTGCATATCTCGTGGAACAAGATTTTTCAAGAGGTGGTGCAGATAAAACTTTATTCATTAGACACATTGAAGAAACCATCACCATAACTCAAATTTATGTTGATGACATCATCTTTGGTTCTCCTATTGATTCTCTTGCTCATGAATTCGATGAATGCATAAAGCAAGAATTTGAGATGAGTGTGGTTGTAGAATTAAATTACTTTCTTGGTTTCCACGTAAAACAAATTGATGATGGGCAGCTCATATCTCAATCGAAGTATGCAAAAGACATTGTCAAACGTTTTGGATTAGACAGCAAGAAACACATTAGAACCCCATGAGCACTAGTGTCAAGTTAAGCCATGATCCTATAGGTTAAAGTGTTGATTAGACGCTGCTTTACAGGAGTATGATAGGTAGTTTACTTTATCTAACTGCAAGTAGACCTAACATAGCCTTTAGTGTTGGGGTATGTGCTTGCTTTCATGTTAATCCTAGAGAATCCCACCTGAGTGCTATGAGACGTATCATTAGATATGTCAATGAAATCGTAGATTATGGAATCATGTATTCTCGAGGATTCTAATCTTGACCTTGCTGGCTATTCCGATACCGATTGGGTTGAAAATGTCGATAATCGAAATAGTACTTTCGAAGACTTTTTTATGTTTGTGCTAATCTTGTAGCTTGGATGAGTCAAAAACAAAATTCTATTTCATTGTCCACGGCAGAGGCCGAATATATAGCTGCACTCAACTGCTTTGGATGAAGCAGATGTTGAGTGATTGTGGAGTTGAACAGGGTATTATAACTGTGTTTTGTGATAACACTAGTGCTATTAATATTTCAAAAAATCTCGTTCAACACTCTCGAACCAAACATATTGATATATATCATCATTTTATTTGGGAGCTTGTAGGGATCCATGTTGTAATTCTTGAACACGTCTTTACATAGAACCAATTAATTTATCTATTTACCAAACCGTTACATGGTTTGAGATTTGAATATCTTAGGACGACTATTAGTGTCTATGTACCTCTTTGATTATATACTTAGGTGCATGCATGTGCATTGGCACTTCACACACATGTCATTTATCACAAATTTAAGGTTTGAAGTCATGTTTACGAGAAAACATTGACACTTCATACACATGAGTCTTTTATACACAGTATTCCAGTTAAACTTAATTTTAGTATGTGGAAAAATTATTTTTGATAACGCATGACTTGTAAACATTTGCATTTTTTTATTCATCTTTTGTGATGGAGTGCGTACCATGAATTTTTTTAAAAAGTTGGCTATTTTTCAAAATTTTGAAAAAATAGGTGTTATTTTTGTTAGGGGCTTTTTCGCTCGCCTCTCGCTTGAGCGACATGCTAAATTTGTGCCCTATTTTTTTCCCATTATTCTTCATCTTCTTCGCCATTTTCTCCCAAATTCTTGGTGTCTCCCCTCTCATTTGATTCTTGAACGACGTTTATACAAGCTTTGAGTGCCAATTCTTCAAAAACTCATCCACCAATCCACGAATTTTCAAGGTGAAAATCAAAAACCCTATTTTTTTTCTCGAATTGCATTTTGGGGTTTTTGATTTCTTGTAGATTATAGATTAAATTCCTTCACATGCATTTCATCTTTAGGTCATGTATATGTGTTTTTCATGCATTTTGCATCATAAACATTGCTCAATTTTGGCATTTGGTTCGTTCGCTTGCATTTGGGTTCTTCATGTGTTTTTTTATTTTTTTCTCCCTCGTTTTTTTCTTGATTTTTGGTGGGGCATAGGATAGCATTACTAGGTTAGATTGCTTGGGTGTTGAGTGTGGTGGTTTCCCCTCAGTTTGAAGCTTGGCTCTTGATGGGCATTCTTGTTGCACGCCAAGTGTTCGTCACATTTCCTCAATGTCGTGTTTTGTTGCATTTCCGTGTCTTTGTTTATGAACATTGCACATTCTCCCTATTAACCATATTTTGGTCGTTAGACTGTCGTTTTGGTGTCATTTATATTGAATTTGATGTTGACACTGCGATGTGACGTCAAGTCACTGCGGCACGCCATCACGGCATGCGTCAAGGTATCGCGTCATGTCGTAAGGCATCACGTCACGACGTCAAGACACTGAGTACCGATGTCTTGGTACCATGTCGTCTCCATCCTTGCATTGCACAGTTTCATCCATAGTTCATTTTCTAGTGTTGTTTTGCATCGATTTGTGGGCACATGTTCTGTTTGTCTTGTTTTTTATTAGGTTAGCGTCATTTTTTTCGTTTCACCTGCATTGTTGCATTTTATTTGGTAGTTTCGTCTGTTGTGTTATTTGACTTGTGTCTAGTCTGCTTCTAGATGCCGCCTAAGAGAGTGAAGATGACTGGACATACATTTAGTGCGTCCACTTCCTACAATTGATCTAGGTTCATTTCCTCTACTACCCATGAGGTATTCCGGTCCTAGTTTTATTTACGTCCTGTGTTAGTGGAGCGAGAGCTAATCATCTTTTCCCAACCTCGCTATCATTTTCACTTCTAGGGGTTGGGAACCTTTACTTGTTGAGTGAACACCTTCTCATAGTCTACTCGTTCAGGAGTTTTAAGTTGATATTCATGACTTTAGTGGATCGACTTTTATGGTGTTTCTTAGGGATAAGACGATGAAGATTACTCCCGATGTCATTTCAAGTTTAGTTCATATTCCTCAAGTCGTTCACCCCTTATTCCCGTATGTATCGATTGACATCCTTCCGGCGGACTCTCTTGTCTGTTCGACGGTGTTTAACACATCGTTGGAAGGCGGTCCTCGTGTTATTCACACTGGTTCTCTTCCTATTGATTGCTGATTCTATTGCACATTGTGTGCACGAATATCTGGCATGTATCAAATACTTCTTCATTGCCTATGGAGAAGGCCCAATTTCTGTACGCCTTATTACATGGCGACTCTATTGGTCTACACTCGTTCATATGCCATCAGATTTTATGCACTTTTCGAGTTACGGGGACTAAGGTGGGGTTTCCTTACGCATGTTTGATTTATCAACTCATGACGGCGCTTGGGGTTAGTTTCTCAGAGGGGGTTTCGATGAGGGTTTCCCGAATGATTGACCATACTACCATTTTCCAGAGTCGGTCTCATGCTTCTTATGAGCCGCTGAGCCAGTTGATTCGATTGTGACAACTGATCCTATTGATGACCTCACTTCTTTTGATCCCTCGAATATCTAAGCTTCTACTTCTGCTCCACCACATACTGATATTCTTTCTACATCTACTTCTGCTCCTTCTCATACTGATATTGTTCCTCCATCTACATATGTTCCTTAGATCCATGGTTGCGCTGATGGAACAGATGTCTGTACTGATCAAGCAGCAGACTCGAATGATGCCGGAGATTACTTAGTCGAGAGACGTTGTAGATTGTCACACTACAGAGTTTGCTATCCTATGCAGGGTAGTCATCTCTCTTCAGCGGGCGATCGATTAGACGACATTGGGATGACGGTGCAGCTTCCGATGAGGAGACTAATGCTGATGATGCTGCATAGTTGCTAGGTTTTTCCTTATCATTTGTGATAAAAAGGGGGAATAGTAGTTAGATACTAGATATTCTTTTGACTAATTTGACATTAACATTTATTATATTTAAATTTTTTGATTCTAAGGTATATGATATTTTCATTTTAGCTAGATTAAGTTTTAATATTTAATGATATCAATGTTTTCTTTTTGGTATGTTGGTTTACGTTGATATTGTATCTTTATTTAGCTAGTATGACTTATGAATAATTGTTTGAATTGTGTTTATCCATATTTCACGTGTTTTTACACTGTGTATTTAAGTTGTCTATTTTAGGAAACATGTTAAACAAAGGAAAAACACATTTTAGCCGAGATAGTTGGTTTTGGGAATAGTAGTTTTTCTTGCGTCTGTATTTTTATTACCTTGACTTTAGATTTGTAGTTTTGTCACAAAATGTCAAGGGGGATCTTGTTAGGTATTTGATGTAATTGACAAGTCT